AAAATGATTTAACAAAATTATTAATTTGGCTCTCAAACAATTAATCATAATAATTAACTATAAAATAACTTTATTGTCATTCTTTTCTATTATTTTTATGCTAATTAGTTATTTAAAAACTTTAAAATATTTTGTAAAGTTGAAAATTTAAATTTTTTTTGTATTCATGTGTAGTATTCATCATGTTACTATATCCTATACTATTATTTGGGGAGTACACTTTATAAGAAACCCTTAACTAACCTTCTCTTTTGTAAAAAATTACATGAGAATGCCATTACAAAAAGCTCATTTTAGAACAAATTCATTAAGGTTATTAAAGACAATTAGCACACTATCCAATTAACCAAAAACGGGTCAATGGGTTTTAAAATCGGTTTAAGAAGATATCCTAAACAATAAAATCTAACCAACCTATCCTAAATAACAACACTCAACCATCGTATAACCTAAATTTTATTTAAAAGATAAAAGAACTTAAAAGTAATAAAATAAAGATAAACAAGTAAAATACTAATTTATATCATTTAATTAATTTAATTAAATTATAAAACGAAAATCTGTTATTATTATTATTTTTAAATGACCAATCAAAATGAACATATAAGAATTGATATCTAACTTACCATATTAATTTGTTATTAATCATTAAACTTCACCTCTCATCTTTATATGATTATATTTATATGAAACAAATAAATCATCATATCATCTACATAACAAAAAAAATAATTTTTTTTCTGCAAATGCCAAGATTTGAATTTTTAAAAACGCATATAAATTGTTCAATCTATAAAGGAAACAATTAAACGGGTCAAAAATTCAGACTTGAGTAATATATTTCTTTTACACAAAAATAAATTCAACAAAAATTCCGACTGAGCAACGGGTCAGAATTTGAATATTTATATTCGATTTCATATATTTATTTTTGTGAAATGTATAATTTGATATACTACAATAAAAATTTAAATATTTTAATTTGAAACATTTAAAATAAGTTTTACTTGATAGTTTTAGAGAATATCATCAATACTTAATAGTTTAAAAAGTTAAAAAATTATAAATACTCTAATTTGATTATTTTTAAAAATATTTCTAATAGGTAGCGGGTTAAATATAATATATTATATGATGATATGAGTTTTGATCCTTATAACTATTTGAATAGTTATATATTTAATTTCATACAATTTGTTTTTGAAATTCATAATTTTATAAACTACAAAAACTATATAGGAACTGACAAAAAAATTAATATTTTTTCACTAACTATTATAATATATTAAAACTTAGTTCTAATATATATATATATATATTATATAAATTTTGTAATAAATAAAATTTAATCCGTACTTTAGTACGGGTGATGATCTAGTTTATGTTTTATTGGTATTATATATATTTATATTTATTTATTTATTTAATAAAAAATATTCACCGTATAGTCCCCGCATAAACGGCCGTATATACGTCTATACGCTATACGGTGCTCTACCGTACGCCTAGCGTATAGCGCATTTTAGAACACTGCCAAATACATAACCACATCTCCACTTCCAACTCCACCATACTCCCATAGCGAAAGTTGTTGACCAAGTCCCCTCCGTTGTCGCTTCCGTATAACCCAAGTTACCATAGATCCAACCAAATAGAGACTCCGTAAAGAATTCTCTTCTCCTCCTTGCCGGTATAAGTCGCTGCCATATACCCGCAATAGACGGACAGTCCCTTAGAATATGGAGAATCGTCTCCTCCCCTCCTTTACAAACTTGACACATACTTGTCTCACCAATGTGTCTCCGAAAACGTTCCGCATTTGTCATGATTGCTTGATGGCCAACAAGCCACAAGAACACACAAACCCTCTCCGGTGCTTCTACCTTCCATATCCTCTCGAAAAAACTCATCATGTTCGGCCTAGGTGATTGATTCTCAGTCAATAGATCGTATGCTGACTTAACCGAGAATCGTCCATCCGCAGTTCCACCCCATGATAACCTGTCACGGGCTCCCGTCACATTATCAACTACTACAGCTGCCAACTCCAATCTTATGGTATATGGGACATAAGGCAGTATATTTTCAAGCACCCATCCTGTACCATTCTGCCAATAGTCCTTCACCCGCAAGTCTCTATACCCATCTGGTATAATCGCCGTTGCTCTCTCCATAAGTGGTTGTTTTGATAACCACCGGTCTGACCAGAATCGGATATTTTGGCCATCTCCTAACACCCAGCAGCTCCCGTGAGTGATCACTTCCCGCAGACCTACCACCACACTTCTCCAAGTTGAGGACGCCGGTCTCTTTGCTAACAACCAAGACTGATCTTGTAGATCTCCCACTTTGTATTTGCTTCTCAATACCTTTGCCCACAAACCGGTTTGATCATGAATTAAACGCCAGCCCACTTTTGCAACAAGTGCTATATTCATCTCTTTGGATTTTCGGATACCAAGTCCGCCTTCTCTTCGTGAACAACAAACTTTATCCCATGCCACCAAGTGTTGTTTTTTCTTCTCTGGTGAGCTTCCCCAAAGAAAGTTCCTTGACACCTTATCCAACCCATCAATCACCGCCTTAGGTAACAATATTGTGCTCATTGTATGAATGGGGATGGAAGCCAATACCGATTTAGTCAAAGTAAGCCTTCCCGCAAAGCTTAAGGACCGACTCTTCCAACCCGCTAACCGTGAGGACACCCTCTCAAATACTTCATCGAAAGTTTCTTTATTAATCCGCTTTTGGAGAATCGGCATACCAAGATATTTCCCCAACTCCCTGGTGGATTTAATTCCACTTTCGTCACTTATCAATTTTCCCAATTCCCGCGATACATTTTCCGAGAAAAAGATCTTTGATTTCTCTAAGCTCACTTTTTGGCCGGAAGCGACACAAAACTTCTCCAAAATCCTTCTAATGATTTTTATTTGTGTACAATCAATATTAACATTTCTGAAAAACAAATTTGCGCGTTTAATCAGGTCGTATTTTTTTTTTACTTTGATCCGAAATTGAGTCATTCGGATATTTCCTTAATTTTTACAATTATCCAAAACGGGACAATATACCACGGGTGAAATCCTAAAATTAATAAATCAAAATACAATTATTTAGTATTTTAAGATACAATTATAAATTATTTTTATGGGTTGGTCTAAAAACACACACTAATTTAAAAATATATATATTATGGAAACTATTTGAAAGCAAACTTTTAAATTGACTCGAATTAGATGTCTTTTAAATAAAAGTGTTATTAAAAGAAATAACAAAATGATGTTTAATTTTACGGGACGAGATTATATGGTGGGACGGGTTTAAATTGATATTAATATGGGACAATATATTACGGGTGAAATCCTAGGATTAACAAATCAAAAATACAATTATACAATTTTAAACACTAAACAAAACAAATATAACTTACAATTTCTATTTTTTAATTATAACGCATGTGACCCGCGGTGTACAAAAAAAATATTATATACTACAAATTTATTAATTTATAAAAAATCAAAAAAATTTAAAAAATTAACCCCCGGTGTACCGCGGGTCATATCCTAGTATATATATATCTATGAAACTAAAAAGTAAAACCTAAAATATCAATTGATAAAATCAGATGTAAATAATTAAAAAAAGGATACAATTTTCACATTTTACAGAGAAAAATTGACCAAAAAAAAGAAAAACAAAAGCAGCAAACAGTTCAGTTCCAAAAATATTTTCTTTTGACATATCTTTGACATTTTTTAATTGATACATATCTTTGACCTTTTTTTATTGCTCTTTCAAAGCCAAAAGCCCAAAACTATTGCGATGACCAATTTGATCTACATGAACACAATTCCACTCTTAAGTCACTACACACCCAAATTCGAAGGCTTTTTTCTTTTCTTTTTTCTTTTCTTACACTCTGGGAAGGTGCAATTAAATCGAAAAAGTTATATGGAGACTCACCAAATTAAGAAAACCTAGCCGTTGAGGAAAGCTCTCTCCTCTTTCATAGCAGCTCTATTGTGAAATTTTAGCCGTTATCCTTCTTGCCGTCCCGATTTCTCTTGGGCATAAGAACTTCTCTCTCAATTAAAGGTTGTCTTTTCTTGAGCGGAGCTACAGACCGAAGAAGTTTCCGTTTTCTGTCGGAGTATTTGTGTTTTTGTGTTGTTTTTGACACGGTGCTACTGGTTTCTGGTGTGAGTGTTATAAGTTCAAGCTTCGCTGGGTTTGCGGTTTTCTGTGCAGGCCTTTTCTTGATTTTATCTCGGTGTTTGTTCGAAGTTTGGTGTGTTCAATTTTAGGAATATGGATCTAGATAAAGCGATTCAAATCCTTTCGATTGCGGATGAGAAGCCGTTGGTGCTCTCCAATCAACCAAAGTTTTGTTCATCGGAAAGGAATAACTGCAGTCTTATGGGTAGATTTCTAAATCCGGAGAACCAGAGGATGTCTAATTGGATATTAGATATGCCGCGAATTTGGAGATTATACTCACGGGTTAGAGGTGTTGCGTTATCAAAAGACAAGTTTCAATTTATTTTCAAAGCTGAGGAAGATCTAGAGGAAATTCTGAAAGTAGGTGTATGGACACAGGATGATTGGTGTGTGGTAATGGAGAAATGGGTGGAAAAACCTCCTCATGATTATCTGATGTTTCTCCCAATTTGGGTTAGACTCCGTAATATCCCTGTCAATTATTACACGAAAGATACGATTGAAGAGATTGCAGAATGTCTTGGGGAAGTCTTAGAAGTCGCTTTGGACTTGGAAAAATCACAGGCTCAGGATTATGTCAGAGTACAGGTTTTGTTCAATGTTTCAAATCCTTTACGTAATTCAAAAGAGGTACAACTGCCAACATGGGAAATTGTCTTGATTTCCTTTGATTTTGAGAGGATAAGGAAACAATGTTTCCAGTGTCAACGTTTAACTCATGACAAGAATCGATGTCCTTTTAAGCCAGCTATCTCGTTAAAAGCTGTTGCTTTGCCTGCAAAACATCCAGAAAAACTGAAAGGGACTCTACTTGAAGATGATCAGACATTTCAGTCATATGAAAAGAAAGACAACAGTTTTAAATTGATGGAAGATGCGATGAAAGGATCTACAATTAAGAGTAGTTCCATGATCACAAACACTCTGGATGATGTTTATGATGATGAGTTATCAGACTTGGATCTTTTTGTTGGTTTCAGAACAGGAAGTATGGACGCTAGCTCATCTGGTGCAGCTGGAAATTCTGGGAATCCTAAAAAACATAAACCTTCATGGCAAAGGAAATCTAAAGGAAGCAAGGAACTTCCTTTGAAGAACAAGGTCAGTGTTGTAGATTCTAAAGAAAAGTTTGCAAAAGTTTTTAAGAGGAAAGCTCAATCAACTACTCAGGAATCTACAAAATGTTTTAAAAGGGATAACAACTCGGTGGTTCCACAGGAACCATCGCAGTATGAATAGGGCGTCCTTAGCTGGAATTGCCAAGGACTGAGGAATCCTTGGACAATTCGACACTTAAAGGAAATGAAAAAGGATCATTTCCCAGACTTACTTTTCCTCATGGAAACGATGAATACTGATAAGTTTATAGCAAAGGTTTTTTCTTGGCTGGGTTATGACTATGTTTATACTGTAGAACCAGAAGGAAAAAGTGGGGGTTTAGCAATTTTTTGGAAGAGTTTCTTAGAAATAAAAATTCTATCTGCAGATAAGAATCTCTTAGATTTGAAGGTGACACAAGGAAAAAAACATTGGTTTGTATCCTGTGTTTATGGTCATCCAGTAACATCTCTAAGACCTGTTTTGTGGGAAAGACTTGGAAAAATTGGATTGCACAGGAAAAAAGCTTGGTGTATGATTGGAGACTTTAATGATATCCTTTCTAATAAGGAGAAGCTTGGTGGTCCTAAGCGCATGATATCATCTTTTCAAGCTTTTCAAGAGATGTTAGACATTTGTGATATGCAGGAATTAGAGAGTTCAGGAAATAGTTTTACTTGGGGAGGAACAAGAAATGATCAATGGATCCAGTGTAAACTAGATAGAACTTTTGGAAATTCTAGGTGGTTTGCTATGTTTCCAAATGCTCACCAATGGTTTCTTGACAAGCTTGGATCAGATCATAGACCAGTTCTGGTGAAATTTGTTAATGATCAAGAAACTTTCCGGGGTCAGTTTAGGTATGATAAAAGACTGGCAGAGAATCCAGAGTGTATGGAGGTAATTCAAAGATCTTGGTCTAATGTAATTTCCTCACAGAATCAATCTTCAGTTTTAAGCTTAATGGAGTGCAGAAGTGCTATATGTGCTTGGAAGCGATCCTCGGATCTTAATGCTCACAGTAAAATACAGAGATGGAGAAAAGAGTTAGATTTACAGAAAAGTGCTCAATTTCCAAATTGGCATAGGATTGCATTTCTTAAAGATCAATTGGGATTAGCTTATCAAGAAGAGGAATCATTTTGGAGAGAAAAAAGTCAGGAAAAATGGATGTTTGCAGGAGACAAAAATACAAAATTCTTTCAAGCGTCTGTTAAAGCGACTAGAGTGAAGAATTCCTTGAATTTTCTCTTGGATGAAAATGGTAATGAACAGACTGCTAATAGAGACAAAGGAAAGATTGCATGTATGTTCTTTGAGAATTTATTCAAATCCTCTTCTCCAGACAATCTGAATGATTATTTGCATGGGTTTCAAGCTAAAGTTTCAGCCTCTATGAATCAGGAGTTGACTCAGATGGTAACAGAGGCTGAGATTTATTCAGCTCTTTTCTCAATAAATAAAGAGAAAGCACCAGGACCAGATGGATTTACAGCTCTATTCTTTCAGAAGCATTGGTCTATGGTAAAAGGAAAAATTGTTAAAGAGGTGATGGGGTTTTTTGAGACTGGTAATCTACCTGAAGAATGGAATCACACTCACTTATGCTTGATTCCAAAGATCAAAAATCCTCAGAGAATGACAGATATCAAACCTATCAGCTTATGTTCAGTGTTGTATAAGATTATATCCAAAATCTTAGCTTCACGTTTGAAAAAGCATTTGCCAGGTATTATATCTCCAACCCAATCTGCATTTGTGAGTAAAAGATTAGTCTCTGATAATATCCTTATAGCTCATGAGATTGTGCATAATCTGAGAACTAATGAGAAGCTTTCCAAAGATTTTCTGGTTTTTAAAACAGATATGTCAAAAGCATATGACAGAGTTGAGTGGATATTCTTGAAAGGAATACTGAAAGCTCTGGGATTCAATGAGAAGTGGATAGATTGGATGATGGAATGTGTATCAACAGTCTCATATTCAGTTTTGGTGAATGGTCAACCGTTTGGGCATATTAAACCAACTAGAGGAATCAGGCAGGGTGATCCATTATCCCCCTTTTTGTTTGTTTTATGCACTGAAGCGCTTATTCACATTCTCAATCAGTCTGAAAGACAAAAGAAGATTTCAGGAATTGAATTTAATAATTCTGGGACTTCAGTGAATCATTTATTGTTTGCGGATGATACACTGATAATGTGCAAGGCCAATAAGGAAGAATGTGAGGAAGTCATGAATTGCTTAGCTAACTATAGGAAAATTTCAGGGCAAGAAATCAATGTGAAAAAATCAGCTGTCACTTTTGGAGCTAAAGTTGAGGATCAAATGAAAGATTGGATAAAAGAAAATTCTGGTATTCATACAGAAGGAGGAACGGGTAAGTATCTAGGCTTACCTGAATGTTTGAGTGGTTCCAAGAAAGAACTATTTAGCTTTATCAAGGAAAAACTACAATCTAGAATGACAGGCTGGTATGCAAAGTCCTTATCTCAAGGTGGTAAGGAAATTCTCCTAAAATCAATTGCTATGGCCCTCCCAGTTTATGCAATGAGTTGTTTTAAACTCCCTATTAAGCTCTGTCAGAACTTAACTTCTGTGATGATGGATTTTTGGTGGAATAATATGCAATATTTAAGGAAAATTCATTGGGTTGGTTGGCAGAGATTAACATTACCTAAGGACTTAGGGGGCATTGGCTTCAAAGATATTCAGTGCTTCAATCAAGCTTTATTGGCAAAGCAAGCTTGGAGATTAATGCATGACAAGGACTGTCTGTTCTATAAAGTATTTAAAAGCAGGTATTTTCTGAATTCTAACATACTTAATGCTACAAATGGAACAAGGCCTTCTTTTGCTTGGAGAAGCATATTGTTTGGAAGAACTCTTTTAAAACAGGGATTGAAAACAGTCATTGGTAATGGGACTGATACCAATGTATGGATCAATAAATGGTTATATGATGGAGGAAATAGAAGACCAATGAATGCTCAGATTCTGGTTGATGTTGAGCTAAAAGTGTGTCAACTTATTGATCCTCTCTCAAAGAATTGGAATTTGAATCTTTTGAGAGATTTGTTTCCATGGAAGGATGTTCAGCTTATTATTCAACAAAGACCACTGTTATATCAGAATGATTCTTTCTGTTGGGCTCATACTCATGATGGGTTATATACGGTTAAATCAGGATATGAGTTAGGTAGCAGAAAAGTTCATCAACTGTTGTATCAAGAGGTTGAAGAGAATCCTTCAATAAATCCACTGTATGTTAGTGTTTGGAAGTTGAAAACTGCACCAAAAATTAAAGTGTTTCTTTGGAAAATGCTAAAAGGTGCAATAGCAGTGGAAAACAGACTTAGAACAAAGGGGATTAGGATTGCAGATGGTTGTCTTATGTGTGGTGAAGATAATGAGACAATTAATCATATTCTTTTTCAATGTCCTCTAGCGAGACAAGTATGGGCTCTGGCTCTGATTCCTGCTCCTTTGGGTGGTTTTGGGAATTCTGTTTATGTTAACCTGCATCATATTTTACAGTTAGCTCAGAATCAAAAAGTTTCTCAAGAAGTCAATTTGGTTAGCCCTTGGATCATCTGGATCCTATGGAAAAACAGAAACAAGATATTATTTGAAGGAAATGGATCGGTAACGAATAGCATTGTGGAGAAAGCTTATGATGATTCCAATCAATGGAATAATGCGCAACAAAGAGAATCTGGTTCACTAAATAAGACTGAAGTGGTGTTAAAGAAATGGCTTCCACCAATGAATGGTGAATTGAAATGCAATATTGGTTATGCATGGTCTAAACAAAAAGAAATCTCAGGAGCTTCTTGGGTGCTCAAAGACTGGCAAGGCATTGTTATGATGCATAGCAGAAGATCTTTTTCTCAGGTAACTTCCAATTTTCAAGCTAAACTTAGAAGTTGGGAATGGGCTTTACAAAGTATGCATCAACTTCGGTTTGAAAAGGTTATTTTTGGAGCATCAACTACAGAAATTATTAAAGCTCTGAATAAACCTAGAGATTGGCCTGCTTTCAATGGTCATACGGCTGACATGTTTGGTTTTACCTTCAACAAACCATTCTGGTTTTTAGAAGTAGAACATCCTTTAGGCAATAAAGGACCGTATGAAATAGCTAAGAGTGTACTAACTGGGCTGAGATTTCAATCTTATGTGGCTAGAGGAGGTCCAAAATGGCTCCAAAATGTTTTTGATTCTGATAAGGTTAATCAGCTTCGAGGTTGAGGTTTTAAAATTTTTCTTTTCCTCTTTTGTTGACTAGATAAGAGTCGGTGTAGTTTTTTAGGATTTCTTTCCTTCAGGTGTTTACTAGTTTTGGTGTTTTCTGATCATTTCTTTTGTCTTGTTACTTTTTATCTTCTTACCTTGGTTCAAGTTTTTCTAGTCTTATCTTTTACCTTTCTTATCCTTTTCTTTAAATTTTTAAATAACGTCTTTGGCCTTTTCCTACTCTATGTATATATATAGTTTGGTTTCTCTAGTTTTAGAACCTCAACCTCCTAGAGCTTTTAAATTACTTTTAAACATGGCGGAGGAGTTGTGGGATGAGATTCAGAATCTTGCTTTGGGAAGGAATGATCCGGAGTTATTCATACCACATGAAGCTTATGCAGATGTTGCGGGTCGTAACCGTCTTAGCTTGATAGCTAGACCACTAAATCCTCGAGCTCAGAACCTCTTCTCGGTAATATCTTCTTTACCAAGAGTCTGGGGTTTAACTGAAACAGTCCATGGTAGGGTTTTAGATGGTACTTTTGTTCAATTCCTCTTTCAGTCTGAACTTGATCTTATTTCAGTTCAAAGAAGAGAACCCTGGCTCTTTAACAACTGGTTTATAGTTAATCAGAGATGGGAGATCTTCCCTGATGTTGATTTTCTTACAACTATAGACTTGTGGGTTCAAATTAGAGGAATACCGTTACCCTATGTTTGTGTGGAAACAGTGAATGAAATTGCTCAAGAGCTTGGTCATATTGTTCACATAGACTTTCATGAAGCCTCTACCATACAAATTGCCTATATCAGGGTAAGAATCAGATTTGGTATAACTGATAGTCTCAGGTTTTTCCAAAGGATTAGGTTTGACTCAGGTGAGACTGCTGTAATCCGCTTTCAATATGAACGTCTGAGAAGAATTTGCAGTCAATGCCTTAGGTTCACTCATCATAGGACTCACTGTCCTTATATGCTGCCTGTATCAGAACCAAGACAGGATGGCAGAAATCAAACCCCTGTGAGGAGGGATAGAATGGTGTTTCAAGATGAGCTACATAGATCAGAGATGAACTCTCAATCACAAATGTCAGATAACTCTTTTCCTGCTCCTATTACACCACCACCAAGAGTTCCAACCCCTCCACTGAATCTGGAAGAACTGGTAGCGGCGAGACCTTATCTTTTTACTCCAAGAGTGACAACTCCTCAGAATTTTGTTGCTCCAGCTCCTCAATGTGCAATTCAACGACAACATGCTTCTACAGGTTCTAACTCAACTCCACTAAACACAAATGAGGCTACATCAAGATTTTCAAGACTAGTGGAGTTTGGAGAGTCTTCTCAAAGACCTGAGGGTAGAGATGGAGCAAAACGCACAAACAATCAAGTTGATCTGCAGGAGATAGATCAAAGAAAGCAAAAACAGAAAGGAAATGAGCAAATACTTGGAGGGATTCTGAAACCTCCAAAAAAACGTTAGACCACTCTACTGATTCTGTCATTTTTTGGCGTTGATGTGTTAGCTGAAGAATGTTAGTCAAGAAGCTTGAATAAATGGTATGCTTTTGGAAAATCTTTTTGTGTCAAAGCATGTCCTCTGCTTCACTCATGTTTGGTTAAGGAAGTTAGCAAGTGGAAGTGAAGATATACTGGCTGATGCATCGAATGGAGTCTTGGATCCTTGTCAGGCTCCATTTTCATGTTTTCTGTTTACTTTAAATGTTGGTTGTTATATTTAAAAAGTGGAAGTTTCCACAGTTGTACTCTTTGCAACAGATGAAAGTTAATGAAAACACTT